AGATATTTTTTCATAGACCAGTCTCACCTTTCACAGGGTAATTACCCAACTCCAAGGAATCCAACATGAAAACAATGATAGTTGAGATATGTTTTTCATAGATCTTAGTTTCCTCCAAGTCTATAACCACCTTTAACAGAGTATTCAACTCCAAGGAATCTCAGATGAAATGATGACTAATGGGATGATTTTTAATAGAGTTTAGGGTTTCCCCATCAGTCTCTACATCACCTTTTACAGAGTATGCAACTCCAAGGAATCTCAGATGAAATGATGACTAATGGGATTAGAGATTAGAGCAGCAGTATAGATTAGAGCAGCAGTGTAGACTAGAGCAGCAGTGTAGACTAGAGCAGCAGTGTAGACTAGAGCAGCAGTGTAGACTAGAGCAGCAGTGTAGATTAGAGCAGCAGTGTAGATTAGAGCAGCAGTGTATAGAGCAGCAGTGTATAGAGCAGCAGTGTAGACTAGAGCAGCAGTGTAGACTAGAGCAGCAGTGTATAGAGCAGCAGTGTAGACTAGAACAGCAGTGTAGATTAGAGCAGCACTGTAGATTAGAGCAGCACTGTAGATTAGAGCAGCACTGTAGATTAGAGCAGCACTGTAGATTAGAGCAGCACTGTAGATTAGAGCAGCACTGTAGATTAGAGCAGCACTGTAGATTAGAGCAGCAGTGTAGACTAGAGCAGCACTGTAGATTAGAACAGCAGTGTAGATTAGAGCAGCACTGTAGATTAGAGCAGCACTGTAGATTAGAGCAGCACTGTAGACTATAGCAGCACTGTAGACTAGAGCAGAACTGTAGATTAGAGCAGCACTGTAGACTATAGCAGCACTGTAGACTAGAGCAGAACTGTAGATTAGAGCAGCACTGTAGACTTAGTGTGGTTTTGAACAAAGAAGACACAAACTATAGATTGCACAATTTATTGCCTGGCATATTTCGCTGTATCTCGTCAGATGCATACTACAGTAACAATTGATTACAATGAAGCAAATAGGTGAATCCTAGAAACTGAAACGCAAACTGGAGTACATTCTGAACTGTCTGCAGTCTGTTGTTTGTGTCTTGTTTGTTCAAATTCAAAATGGGGAAACACTGCTTTGATTGAGTGTGGTTTGTTGAAATCTGACATAGCTTTGTACACTTGTGATCAATCTAGTCACTCGCTGTTTGTAACATGAAGCTGCATTAAGAGGAACATTTAATTTGAGATATGATTTTGTGAACTAATTTAGAATAATCTGAGATATGATTTTATGAACTAATTTAGAATAATCTGAGATATGATTTTATGAACTAATTTAGAATAATCTGAGATATGATCTTTCTGAACTAATTTAGAGTAATCTGAGATATGAATTTATTAACTAATTTGGAATAATCTGAGATATGAATTTATGAACTAATTTAGAATAAACTAAGATATGATTTTATGAAATAATTTGGCATTGTTGACAGTTGTTGGGCGGTTGAAAGGTTGCCTGAGCTTGCGCCATGTGAACAGATTATTTCAGCAGACATTTGTGCTCAGACATGAGACACAGAGCACACATCTTGAAAGAGAATTGTGTCACATTAGATCTAGAGCGAGCACCACAAATTATGGAACAATAGTCGAGGTGTGGTTGGATGTAGGATGTGTACAGTATTGTCTGTGTATGCAATGGAGACACAACAAATGCAATATATTATTTGTTTCGTCATTAATGAAATTAATGAAAGAAAACAGAGTTTTGTTGCTGTCATCTAGAAAGTGCTGAATATGATCACACTGGTGAAACACTGGTGCTGTTTTCTTGGTAAGGAACCCGTCAGGGAAACTGTGGCATCAGTCGATGGTCAGTTAGAAGAGCTGATGTTTTGTGTTCACTTAGATAAACATTAGGTCACTTGTCCATAAAGAGCTCAAGCTGTGGCTCTGGTAAAGCTTTTGTCTGGTTGTTATTTCCAGGGATTTAGTTTATTTTTGTTAATTTGCTTGTGGTTATCATTGCTGCATTTCATCCAGTCTTTTTTGTGTGTGTAAGGAAAATATCAACTCCTGTCACTTGTCTTGACTGGCCAGCATTGTACAAACATTTTCAGACATCAAGTAAAATTGAGAGCTAGGCACAGTTATTAAAATAAATGGATAAAAACAGGTGACCTTAAAACAGAGCATAGAGAAAATAGGAACACAGACTATAACTGGCAAGTTGAAAGAAAGAAAAGACATGCAGATAGAAGCAGATGTTTCCCTCAGACTCATTATAAAAAAAAAGAAAACAACATACTGACCACATGACTGGCGGCCATGTATCCTAGCTCTGTCGACGTGAATTTCCTGCAGGCTTTGTTAGATATTTCATTCTTTTCTGGATTGACTTTTTTCGGGGTTTGCATTTAAAAAAAAAAAAGACTTTTTATGATTTGTGCAGTGATCTTCATTGTTATTAATTGCTGGCTCGAATGAGTCACTGCATTTTTCCATTCACCGACTGACAAGAACGAGAAAACATGGACGCTGGCAAACGTTCAGAAGTCACACGTACTGTTTATTTTCACTCGCTGATGTTGCAGTCAGTAAATGTTTATATACAACAATATCACTCATAAATGCTCTAAACAGTCAATCATACCTTGGTAACATCGTAGAATATATACACAATTCAAAGAAAAACACAGTAGCTCCCTCCATCCAGAACGACAGTCATTCACAGCTGGCCACCGTTTCCGTCAGCCGCTATTTTATGCCAGGTAGGCATTGGGAAATCACGCTATTCAGACGTCAACATTCTTCCGAACTTTTTCACATGTACACCTTTCCCTTGGCCTAAACGAGACTGCCTCACAAACCTTTTCTTCGCTATTATATAGCCCTCTGATCTGTCCTGTTCTCGAATATTCTGGATAATTTCATTCTCACGAATTGTCGTGTCTGGCCCGTGATAATTCGCATTTCACACGAATCCTGCCAGTCAACCTTCATGGTTCACGTGAACAATCATGTTTCACATAAAACCTGACTTTCAGATGTCTCTCATGAAACTCAAGACATAAATCTCGTGTTATCTCAGTCAGTCAAACATTCGCCTTACATTTATTACTGACGTCATCTATCGGGCATAACTTAATGGGGAGAAAATGACTCATTACATTCTCCCCCACCCCAAAAAAAAAATGTTTTACATTTTCAATCAATCAGGTGTGAACATTTCACTGAACATTGTGATTCTAGACCTTTGTAGTGAATCATTTTCGACAAGTTCATTTCCAACCAAGTTCCCTTTTCCTCATTAGGTTAACAATTCAAACACTCTAAAATGCCATCTGTTGGGTCTTTGCACGACTGTGAATACCTTAATGGGATCCTCACCCCAGGCACTCCCCTTTTAGTGCGGAAGACCAATAATCTGGCTCCATAGGTATCCCCACCTAGTTCTAAAGTCGGTATACAACCGAACCCCTCTCCTGGCACCCCCCGATCGGTGCGGGAGTCCAAAATCTTGGCTCTAAAACCGAAGTGTGACCCCATGAAGTCCCACCCTCGCTATTCCCATTCATGAAAGCCATCAACAATGGCTAAATCAGCAATGTATGGTTTTGTTCCCAAATATGTAAGGTACAAGATGTAGTTAATTACCTTGTCTTCAGAAACTACAACATGTCTCATTAACACACATATTCAAATTAAATGCTACACCAATTCAATTTAGTATACTAGTAAATGCAACATATTTTCTGGTGAGGTGTATTTTAACACTGAATGTTGTCTCCCTTTAATTGTTTACTATATTATACCCGTTCAAATCAAAACATATACATTTTTCCTAGTTGTAAATTCATATAATACATTCATACAATAATACAATGCATACCTTTGCATAAAATGATTTCAGTTAATACAAATTGTAATAGCAGCTGCAACATATTCTACAAACGTGACATCATATCTGGTAAATGATTGTCTGTTCCTTTGATGTGTTCAATGTTAAATTTGAATTGCGATATCAACAATGCCCATCTATATACCCTTGGATTGCTATTGGCATCAATTGTTAATAATTTTGTCAACCCCAAGTTATCTGTTAAAATAGTGAATTCTTTTCCCAAAAGAAATTTCTGAAACTTTTTTAGACTAATAACTAGTGCCAACGCTTCTCATTCAAATGCATTGTATTTTTGTTGAGTTTGGTTAAGTTTCTGTGACATATACATTACGGACGAGCACCCATTCTGCAGTGATCTTCATTGTTATTAATTGCTGGCTCGAATGAGTCACTGCATTTTTCCATTTACCGACTGACAAGAACGAGAAAACATGGACGCTGGCAAACGTTCAGAAGTTACACGTGCTGTTTATTTTCACTCGCTGATGTTGCAGTCAGTAAATGTTTATATACGATTATATCACTCATCAATGCTCTAAACAGTCAATCATACCTTTGTAACATCGTAGAATATACACACCACTCAAAGAAAACACAGTAGCTCCCTCCATCCAGAACGACAGTCATTCACAGCTGGCCACCGTTTCCGTCAGCCGCTATTTGATGCCAGGTAGGCATTGGAAAATCACGCTATTCAGACGTCAACATTCGTCCGAACTTTTTCACACGTACACCTTTCCCTTGGCCTAAACGAGACTGCCTCACAAACCTTTTCTTCGCTATTATATAGCCCTCTGATCTGTCCTGTTCTCGAATATTCTGGATAATTTCATTCTCACGAATTGTCGTGTCTGGCCCGTGATAATTCGCATTTCACACGAATCCTGCCAGTCAACCTTCATGGTTCACGTGAACAATCATGTTTCACATAAAACCTGACTTTCAGATGTCTCTCATGAAACTCAAGACATAAATCTCGTGTTATCTCAGTCAGTCAAACATTCGCCTTACATTTATTACTGACGTCATCTATCGGGCATAACTTAATGGGGAGAAAATGACTCACTACAATTTGCTTACGCAACTTATGTCTGTTTGTCCACAGATCATAGAAGACTGAAGAAAACATGTCAACTTTTAACAGTGACCGCAAGTCTGACTTTGACCTAGAAATAGTCTTGCATGCCTTTCAACGATGCCTTCGTGAGGACAGAACTCTGATGTTACAGGAGTATGTTACAGCTTACCATGAGTTGTGCAGGTTTTTCAAGCTTACAGGGCCATTGTTTGCTTTTGTTGCCAGAGATTTAGAGTCCAAGATTAAAGCTGTGGAGTACCACTTGCATGCTGACCATGGATCTGAGTACAAGTCGCTGCAGTCCATGGTGGTGTTTGAGGTTAAACATGGCACAACCCACACCAAGGGTTCACATCCTTCGGGATGTCGCATGTTTCTGAGACTTCACTTTGCACTGGAGTTTATACTGTCGTTCATGAAAAGGGTCATGGTTGGCGATGAAAATGAAAAGATGTCCAAACTGGCATGGGAGGTATACGTAAAGACGCTCTACAAACACCATCCTTGGTTGACCAGGAAGCTGGCCGCTATAGCCGTGTACGCCCTGCCCTCCAAGAAACACCTGATCGATGTCTTGTGTAAGCAGGACTACAACAGGGTGTTGGATCTTTTAGCGCAGGTTGTAGACTCCGGACAACCAGTTTATGATGTTGCAGAGGAAGTGCTTGCCGCAAACAGCTTGTTGAACATTCCTTGAACTATTTCATCCTTTTATTCACCGACTGTGTTGTTTGAAGGAATCTAGGTTCATTTTGCTGAGATGCTGTCTCTGCTGTAGATGTTTGTGTTACATGAAGGAATCAAGGTTCATCTTGCTGAGATGCTGTCTCTGCTATAGATGTTTGTGTTACATGAAGGAGTCAAGGTTCATCTTGCCGAGATGCTGTCTCTGCTGTAGATGTTTGTGTTACATGAAGGAATCAAGGTTCATCTTGCTGAGATGCTGTCTCTGCTATAGATGTTTGTGTTACATGAAGGACATTTCTGTTAAAAGAAACAGATAAGACCAAACATCTCTGTGTAGTCTGTTAAGTTTAACTGGCAATATGAAATATTTATTTATGTGAAGTATTTGATATTATAACAGTTTCTGTGTAAAGGATGAGTGTTTGGAGGGACTGAATGTGAGACGGCCTGCATGCCCAATTTGTGACCTTTAGAAAAACAAAAGTTTGTTCATTCATTATTTATCCATTTATCTTTCTGTGTAACGTAGAAATAAAATATGTAACAGTTATCTTTCTACCTACTAGGCTGTCTAATTTAACTGTCTTTATTTTTAAAATACAGTAAATAGTATATGAATACTTAGATGAAATCATACATACATGCAATATATTTGTATCTGAATTTGTTTTAACTGTCTAATATTGATCCAAATATATTCAGCCATTTTACATTTTAAAATAATCAGCTGTGATATATTTTTGCTAAACATTTACTAATTTTTTTGTAAATTTATTTAAAAAATGTGTTAACTGCTGAAGATGTGCTTGTGTTTGTTATATGTTGTTTCGTGATCTGTTTTTGTTTTGCCTAATTTCCGGTGACATTGTTTTAACTGCTCAAATCTGTGACACTTGTGATGTCTTTTACTGGCTGTGAATATCTTATTGACTGATTCTGCCTGAGATCTTTAAGAGAGAAAAGAGATATAGGTAGGCAGGCAACTGTACTTGTCACTGGACCACTCAGCTCTTAGATAATGGAAGGAGATCATTTTGTTTGTAACGGTTTCATCTGTGTGTGTGCCAAGATGCCTTATGAATATTCATACTTATTTGTGCAGTGAGATATTTGTAATATGTTGCGTTGTTTGATGGTAATATGTTGCGTTGTTTGATGGTAATATGTTGCATTGTTTGATGGTAATATGTTGCGTTGTTTGATGGTAAAATGTTGCGTTGTTTGATGGTAATATGTTGCGTTGTTTCATGGTAATATGTTGCGTTGTTTGATGGTAATATGTTGCGTTGTTTGATGGTAATATGTTGCGTTGTTTGATGGTATATATGTTGCATTGTTTGATGGTAATATGTTGAATTGTTTGATGGTATATATGTTGCATTGTTTGATGGTAATATGTTGCGCTGTTTGATGGTAATATGTTGCGTTGTTTGATGGTAATATGTTGCGTTGTTTGATGGTAATATGTTGCGTTGTTTGATGGTATATATGTTGCGTTGTTTGATGGTAATATGTTGCGTTGTTTGATGGTAATATGTTGTGTTGTTTGATGGTAATATGTTGCGTTGTTTGATGGTGATATGTTGTGTTGTTTGATGGTAAAATGTTGCGCTGTTTGGTGGTAATATGTTGCATTGTTTGATGGTATATATGTTGCGTTGTTTGATGGTAATATGTTGCGTTGTTTGATGGTAATATGTTGCGTTGTTTGATGGTAATATGTTGCGTTGTTTGATGGTATATATGTTGCGTTGTTTGATGGTAATATGTTGCATTGTTTGATGGTAATATGTTGCGTTGTTTGATGGTAATATGTTGCGTTGTTTGATGGTGATATGTTGCGTTGTTTGATGGTAAAATGTTGCGTTGTTTGGTGGTAATATGTTGCATCGATTTGGCCTGGCTCCTGGTTGGCAGCTGGTTGGTGTTGATGAGGGTTGAATAATTCCTGTAGCAGACGAAACAGTTGTGAGAGAATAACAATGTCCTAATGTTGACGCTATCAGTAACACTGAGGGTTCTGGCTTTATTCACTTTAATGATGCATAAATATTTATGGTTTCTGAAATTATGGAGCTTTATCTAGTATAACTTCTAATGACTCTGCATCACAGTCAATATGTGGGTGTTCTCTCTATTAATAAGCTTATGTTATGAGCCTCTGGATCAATGACACCTGTATCTACCTGATCTGACCCGGGCTGTCTCTGGACCAGTGACACCTGTATCTACCTGATCTGACCTGGGCTGTGAGTCTCTGGACCAGTGACACCTGTATCTACCTGATCTGACCAGGGCTGTCTCTGGACCAGTGACACCTGTATCTACCTGATCTGACCAGGGCTGTGAGTCTCTGGATCAGTGACACCTTTATCTACCTGATCTGACCAGGGCTGTGAGTCTCTGGACCAGTGACACCTGTATCTACCTGATCTGACCTGGGCTGTGAGTGTCTGGACCAGTGACACCTGTATCTACCTGATCTGACCTGGGCTGTGAGTCTCTGGACCAGTGACACCTGTATCTACCTGATCTGACCTGAGCTGTGACTCTGGATCAGTGACACCTGTATCTACCTGATCTGACCAGGGCTGTGAGTCTCTGGATCAGTGACACCTGTATCTACCTGATCTGACCAGGGCTGTCTCTGGACCAGTGACACCTGTATCTACCTGATCTGACCAGGGCTGTGAGTCTCTGGACCAGTGACACCTGTATCTACCTGATCTGACCAGGGCTGTCTCTGAACCAGTGACACCTGTATCTACCTGATCTGACCTGGGCTGTGAGTCTCTGGATCAGTGACACCTGTATCTACCTGATCTGACCAGGACTGTGAGTCTCTGGACCAGTGACACCTGTATCTACCTGATCTGACCTGGGCTGTGAGTGTCTGGACCAGTGACACCTGTATCTACCTGATCTGACCTGGGCTGTGACTCTGGACCAGTGACACCTGTATCTACCTGATATGACCTGGGCTGTGAGTCTCTGGACCAGTGACACCTGTATCTACCTGATTTGACCTGGGCTGTGAGTGTCTGGACCAGTGACACCTGTATCTACCTGATCTGACCTGGGCTGTGAGTCTCTGGACCAGTGACACCTGTATCTACCTGAGCTGTGACTCTGGATCAGTGACACCTGTATCTACCTGATCTGACCAGGGCTGTGAGTCTCTGGACCAGTGACACCTGTATCTACCTGATCTGACCTGGGCTGTGAGTCTCTGGATCAGTGACACCTGTATCTACCTGATCTGACCTGGGCTGTGAGTCTCTGGACCAGTGACACCTGTATCTACCTGATCTGACCTGGGCTGTGAGTCTCTGGACCAGTGACACCTGTATCTACCTGATCTGACCTGGGCTGTGAGTGTCAGACACATTGTTTGCCATCTATGATGAATGAACAAACACTGAACTACACCATCATCTGCAGGAGCCAGCTTGGCTGTGATATGAGACAGCTAATGGACAGAGTCTCATCTCTGACTGCTGTCAAATGTTCTGATTTCTGTGGATATCTCTATAATGGTAAGCACGCTCAAACTCAGCAAAGACAGATGATTAACCTGCCCGAGACTGTAGCAGCCCGATGGGGTCTGCATGCCGTCTGTCTCTGCTACTCTATCACACATTAGGAATGTATACAATTTTCAAAGGCAGTAGTACAGGGGTCAGAGGCAGTAGTACTGGTTTCAGCAGATGGGGTCAGAGATAGTAGTACTTGGTCAGGAGATGGGTTCAGAGATAGTAGTACAGGGGTCAACAGATGGGGTCAGAGATAGTAGTACTGGGGTCAGAGATAGTGGTAATGGGGTCACTGTCAGGATCCAGTGAGATCCAGTGACTGTCATGTTATGTTGTGATAGTCAGACATTTGTTTTATATTTCTTTACAACTTGTCATATGTTGTTTTGATAGTCACATGCAACTTTCATGTTATGTTGTGTTGAGCTTTTGCTGGAGGATTTGAGAGATGAGGTTCAAGTCTGCTGGCCTTAATTCAGATGTCACAGCTGACCAGCTTAGGTGAGACTAGACTCTTGTTGCTGCTGTACTGGGCAACAAACACACATCTCCAGCAGTCAGAGGTAAACACTTTAACCAGTCAGCCACCTGTTCAGCATTCTCAGTTTTCTGACATGTCTGATTTATGTTTTGTTGGTGCCTGAAGTTTGGAGACAGCTTTAACTCATCGGCTTACATTCCAGCAAAACTTGTTGAATTGGTATGATGTTATATTTGTATTACTGCAGCACTTGTTTGCAGTAACTGTTGTTTACAAGTCTGAGGTCTTACCCCTGAAATTTGAGGTAAGCAAACATGTTGAATTATTGAAACTGCTGATATTCTTTTGTAAAACTAGCACACACAGTAAGCTTTCATAGATAGAACGTACTGAATTATTGAGACTGCACTGCTGTTGTGTTTGTAAAACTGCACTGCTGTTGTGTTTGTAAAACTGTACCGCTGTTGTGTTTGTAAAACTGCACCGCTGTTGTGTTTGTAAAACTGCACTGCATGACTGGAGATAAACAAAACTAGTTATTGTTGTGCTTCCATGTTTGTTTTTGTGTCTGAATCGGTTTTGATATTCGTTGTTATTTTATTGTGTCAAGTATTGATGATTTATGCTATATATTATAATTATTGTTGAAATTTCTCCTTGCTAATCAACATTTTTATTAACTCTTTGAGTCCCAAGGAACGCATCATGCGTTCATGGGTTCCTACCTAGAAGCCCAATGAACGCATGCATGGTGAGCCTATTTTATTACTTTCTTTACTACCCATTGGGCCTGTGATGATTGGCCCTCTGGGACTCAAAGAGTTAATGCATAATATTAGTTTTAGATACCGATTCACAAAACATCTTGCATATGCTAATCATGTAACTACAAGGCACCCATATATTATAGTCAGTATGCAGAAAGAAATGTAATGACAGAAATGTCTTCTTTGATGTGACAATCAAACTATTGTCTTGCAATAACAGTAAGTACCC